AGAGCTCTGGCAGGAACCTGCAGAGACCACAGACATGAGCAGAGCAGCTGTCAGGTCCTGGGAGTGAGGAACAAGACAGGTGTCCACGGGGGAAGGAGGCGGGCGTCCAGGGGGAACCGGATGGGTGTCCAGGGGGAACGAGGCGGGAGTCCGGGGGAACCGGGCGGGAGTCCGGGGGAACCGGGCGGGAGTCCGGGGGAACCAGACGGGTGTCCAGGGGGAATGAGGCGGGAGTCCAGGGGAACCGGACGGGTGTCCAGGGGGAACGAGGCGGGAGTCCGGGGGAACTGGACGGGTGTCCAGGGGGAACGAGGCGCGAGTCCAGGGGAACCGGACGGGTGTCCAGCGGGAACGAGGCGGGAGTCCAAGGAGGGACGAGGTGGGCATCCAGGGGGAACCGGACGGGTGTCCAGGGGGAACCAGGCGGGAGTCCAAGGGGGAACGAGGCGGGCATCCAAGCGGAAGGAGGCAGGCGTCCGTCTAGGGGGAATGAGGCGGGTGTCCAAGGATGAGGCGGGCATCCAAGGGGGAATCAGATGGGCGTCCAAAGGGGGAATGAAAGGGAATGAGACTGCTCTCCAAGAACTCCTTAGGGGGAGTCCTCTGCAAGTCCCAGGAAACAGTGATGTCACGGCAGGCACACCCAGCCCCGCTGGGTGCCTAAGAAATGCTGATATGCCGAAAAAGAGGTAGACTGAGGAAAGGGGTCATGACTTTGGCTCAGGACAAGGTCTCTCCCTCTCAGCACCCTGGACACTGGTGCTGCTTCGTTCTCTGGAGCGGAGCTGTCCTGGCACTGCAGGGTGCTGGGCAGTATCCCTGACCTCCAACCACCTCATGCCAGAAGCAGCGGCAGAAGGGACCTCCATGGGGCCTCAGCACCACCCTCAGAGCACTCAGGAGGTCTTGGGAGCCGGGTGGGTTCTTTAGGGCAGCTGCTGCTTGCCTGCTGGCCTCACACTTGCCGGCCTGTGCACGGCCGGGTTGGTGAGCTCTGGGCCTCAGGTCATCATCCGTGAAATGGGCATATTAAGGCCTTTCCATCTCGGCTGTCTTGGAGCTGAGATCAGCCAGCGCCCTTAGAATAGGACCTGGAGAGTTGGGGGTGGGCCTGGGGCGGGGAGTGCGAGAGGCCTGATGGGGGTTTTTCCCACACCCCTGGCACTCAGGCCCTCCACTTGGACCCGCAGATCCTGAGCACCCGCAGGTGTCACCTCTTCCGGGCTCGAGATGGACAACAAGAAGCGCCTGGCCTATGCCATCATCCAGTTCCTGCACGACCAGCTCCGGCACGGGGGCCTCTCGTCCGACGCACAGGAGAGCCTGGAAGGTATGAGTGTGCCCGCCACCTCCCCCCTCCCTTCCCGGGCAGCGGCTGGCATAGTCGCCTAGTGTAGATGCCTGGTGTGGAGACCGCTGGTCTCCCGCCTGGCTTCTTGGGGGAGGAAGCTGAGCCCAGAGAGGGCTGGGACCTGCCCAGGGCCACACAGCTCCCGGCCACAGGAACCAGGGCCGAGCCGAGCCCTCCCGCCTGCCAGTGCATGGTACCACCGTGGCCTGCCACCTTCAGGCTGAGCTGCCTTCCAGCGGCCTTCTCCATCTCCCCATCTTCCACCAAGGTGTGCTTCTAGAACGTTCTCACCACCTGGTGTATGCATGTCGCTATTGGTCACAGGGAAGAGCTCTCCTAGTGCTGGTTCCACCCTAGAGTCCCAGCCCCATTGGTGTCCCGCCTGGCCTGCCATGGGCTCCTGTCTGGTCTGGCTCCCACGTCTGCGACACCCAGATCTGGGGCTTGGAGGGTGAGGAGGGTGCCAGGGCTCATGGGGACGGGCTCGGGGGGAGGAGGGTGTCAGGGCTCGTGTGGTCGGGCTCTGGGAGAGGGGCCCTGCGGCTGTTTCCTGTCCTGCTCTCCATGGTCCTGCCCTAGTACAGACAGAGTCACACAGGACTTCTACTGAGGGGTGGCTTCAAGCTCCTGACTTGTGGAGGTCTGACAGCATTCCGGGCACCTCACCCCTGATGTGGCCCTCCAGGCGGGGCTGTGCCCCCACCACGCCTCAGCCGGGCAGCCCCAGCATTGGGACCGCACGGAAGCCTGAGCTCACCGCCCGGGCCCTGCTCTTAGGCGCCCAGGGCTTCTCCATACAGCTTTGCTTTTCGGGAAGGAGGAGGATGCGCTGTCCCAGGCCAGGGCACAGGCAGCAGCCCCTGCATTCTGGGACCCTTGGGAACAAGCGTACCTGGGAAAGTGTGAGCGCCAACCCCACCCTCTAGACCGGAAAATGTAAGCTCAGGGCTGCGTTTAACTCACGGGCCCCCTCTGCTCCCCTTCCAGTTGCCATCCAGTGCCTGGAGACTGCGTTTGGGGTGACAGTGGAAGACAGCGACCTCGCGCTCCCTCAGACTCTGCCGGAGATATTTGAAGCGGCCGCCACAGGCAAGGTGAGCCTCGAGGCTTCCCAAGCCACCGCCCCCAAAATGAGAGCAGCAGCAGCAGCAGCGCTGGGGACCCCGGGTGCTCTCGTCATCTCCCAGGCCCTCTGTCCACATCCTCTCCTGGGCTGGCGACGAGGCTGCAGGAGCCCTTGGCCCTCCTCCCTTCATTGGCTGGGTCTGAGGCATGTGGCACTGTGGTCACTCGCCCAGGGCCATGTGGCAAGGGGCCAGGAGTCCCCTGAGGAGCCCCTGTGGTGTTCAGGGCTTGGCGGCCCCCTCTGGCATTCCAAGGAGAGCTGAGGCTGGAGGGTGCCAGGTTGGGAGGAGAGGGCAGCAGGCCATCTTTGCCTCCGGGACCAGGAGATGCCGCAGGACCTGAGGAGCCCCGCACGAACCCCACCTTCTGAGGAGGACTCAGCGGAGGCAGAGCGCCTCAAAACCGAAGGTAATGGAGGACCCTCCAACCCACAGGCGCGTCGCCCCACCTAGACTCTGGGGCCTGGAACCCTTGCCAAGGCCGGCTATTCCCTGGGGCCCTGAGAGTTGAGGGGAGTACCCTGATGACCAGCACGCTGGCTTGTGGGCGTGGGGACAGGAGGGGGACTGGTGAGAGCACGGGTGCAGAGAAACTGACTGTCAGGCACGGCTGGTGGGGATGGAGCGGCTCCCAAAAGTCACACAGCTTCCATGAGGCCCAGCAGTTCCGCCCCTGGACACTAGATAAATGCCTGAGAGAGCTGGACACACGTCCACTAAAAACCGAGGCACAAATGCTCACAGCAGCTGTGTTCACAAGAGTCAAAAGCAGAAACAGGCCGAGCACCACGGTCACACCTGTAATCCCAGCACTTCGGGAGGCCGGGGCTGGTGAATCACCCGAGCTCAGGAGTTCAAGACCAGCCTGGCGAACATGGGAAAACCCCGTCTCTACTAAAAATGCAAAAACATTAGCCAGGCGTGGTGGCGGGTACCTGTAATCCCAGCCTTCCCTCAGCCCGGGAGGCTGAGGCAGGAAAGTCGCCTGAACCTGGGAGGTGCAGGTTGCAGGGAGTCCAGATCACCCCACTGCACTCCAGCCTGGGCAACAGGAGTTTATTTATTTTGAAACTCTGTCTCAAAATAAATAAATGAAAGCAAAAACAGCTTAAATTGTCTGTCCACGATAAGTGGATCAGCACAGCATGTCCCGTCTACACGGTGAAATGTGGGTCAGCCACGAAGAGGAGTGGGGTTCTGACCCAGGGCCCGGGGCAGGGGCACCACGAGGTGTCACGCTCAGGGAGAGACACCAGACACAAAAGGCCATGCTGTGTGTGATCCCATTCTGTGAAATGTCCAGGACAGGCAGATCCACAAAGACAGGAAGTGGGCGTACAGGTGCCGGGGTTGGAGGTGGTGACAGCTAACGGGGACAGGGAAGCTTTTTGGGGTGGCGGGAGGTTCTGGAATTTGGTAGTGGTTATGGTTGTACAACATGCTGAATATACTAAAAACCACTCAATGACTGTTCTTCTTTGGAGACAGAGTCTTGCTGTGTTCCCCAGGCTGGAGTACAGTGGTGCAATCTCAGCCCACTGCAACCTCTGCCTCCTGGGTTCAATTGGTTCTCCTGCCTTAGCCTCCCAGGTAGCTGGGGTTACAGGCATGCACTGCTACACCTGGCTCATTTTTATATTTTCAGCAGAGACAGGGTTTCACCATGTTGGCCAGGTTGGTCCTGAACTCCTGACCTCAGGTGATCCACCTGCCTCAGTCACTCAAACTCCTGGGATTACAAGTGTGAGCCACTGTTCCTGGCCCTAAATTACTTTGTTTCTTTTTTGAGACAGAGTTTCATTCTTGTTTCTTTTTTGAGACAGAGTTTCATTCTTGTTTCTTTTTTGAGACGGAGTTTCATTCTTGTGGCCCAGGCTGGAATGCAATGGAGCTAACGCAACTTCCACCTCCAAGGTTCAAGCGATTCTCCTGCCTCAGCCTCCCAAGTAGCTGGGATTACAGGCATGCACCACCACTCCCAGCTAATTTTGCATTTTTAGTAGAGGTGGGGTTTCTCCATTTCGTTCAGGCTGGTCTTGAGCTCCTGACCTCAGGTGATCCACCCGCCTTGGCCTCCCAAAGTGCTGGGATTACAGGTGTGAGCCACCACATGTGGCCCAAAATTACATTTTTAAAGTGTAAGCTTTGTGGCGTGTCAATTGTATCTCACTGAAACTGTTTAAGGGAACACATGCCGATACCCGCCTTCCGCCTACACCCTCCTGAATTGGGATCTTGGGGGCCGGAGCGGGTTCCCATCTTCAGAGCTCTCAGTTGGTTCTGGGATAGCAGCTGGGTTTTTGTTTTTGTTTTTTTCTTGAGAGGGAGTCTCATTCTGTCGCCAGGCTGGAGTGCAGTGGTGCGACCTTGGCTGACTGCAACCTCCGGCTCCCTGGTTCAAGCGATCCTCCTGCCTCAGCCTCCCGGGTAGCTGGCAGTACAGGTGTGTGCCACCACGCCCAGCTAATTTTTGGATTTTTTAGTAGAGACAGGGTTTCACCATGTTGGCCAGGGTGGTCTCACTCTCTTGACATCGTGATTCGCCCACCTCGGCTTCCCAGAGTGCCGGGATTGCAGGCATGAGCCACCGTGCCCGGCCACAGCTGGGCTTTTTACCATCCTACCAGCTGCACCTTAGAGAGAAGCTGCATTGCCTGTGAAATCAGAAGACATCCCATGAGTATTCTAGAACACAGGCCTCCACCTAGGCTCTTTCCAAAAAAAATATAGCAAAAGAGACAGTTCGCTCCCTGGGCCGATGAGCCGCATTAACCCTTCTGTTCCCAGCCGTCGCCGTCCAGGCAGTGACAGCCACCATTGCCAGATACAGGCTAGGCCAGGCCATGCCGCCCACCTCCGTCTCCCTTAGTGGGTGCAGAGATGACCACTTGCAACCAGAGAACCCCCCCCCCCATAGATGCAGACGCCTCCCAAGCCTGCATCTGTGTTGAATTCTAGGCGCCCAGAAGAGCCGCGTGTGGCACCAAGTCCCCTCCGTCTTTGTGAACGCCCCAGGGTTTTTCTCTCTTTAGGAAATGAGCAGATGAAAGTGGAAAACTTTGAGGCGGCTGTGCATTTCTATGGAAAGGCCATCGAGCTCAACCCTGCCAACGCCGTCTATTTCTGCAACAGGTACCAGCTCAGGGCCTGCCCGGTGCAGGGGCGGCCTCCCGGGCGCTTAGCAAGGACGGGAGGTGGGAGAGGCCTCTGCACTGTAGATGGGGGTTCACCGGCGGCCCCAGACCAGGAGCAAGCATCAGGTGGCCAGCAGGGTGGTCAGGGAGAGTCGATGCTGACCTTAAAAGCAGGCGGCATGCCCAGCGCTCTTGGAGGCCACGGTGGGAGGATCACTTGAGGCCAGGAGTTCAGGACCAGCCTGGGCAACATATCAAGACCCCTGTCTCTACAGAAAATGTAAAAAAATTAGTCTGGGGGCCAGGTGTGCTGGCTCACATCTGTAATCCCGGCACTTTGGGAGGCCGAGGCAGGCGGATTACCTGAGGTCAGGAGTTGAAGACCAGCCTGACTAACAGGGTTAAACCCTGTCTCTACTAAAAATACAAAAATTAGCCTAGTGTAGTGGCACGTGCCTGTAATCCCAGCTACTCGGGAGGCTGAGGCAGGAGAATCACTTGAATCCAGGAGGCAGAGGTTGCAGTGAGCCAAGATCGCACCACTGCACTCCACCCTGAGTGACAGAGAAACTCTGTCTCAAAAACAAAAACAAAAAAATTAGCTGGGCTTGGTGGCAGACGACTGTAGTCCCCAGACCTGGGTGGCTGAGGCAAGAGAATCTCTTGAATCCCGGAGGTGGAGGTTGCAGTGAGCCAAGATCACGTCACTGCACTCCAGCCTGGGCAGCAGAGTAAGACCACGTTTCAAAAACAAATAAATATATAAAAACAAAATCAGGGCCAGGCGCGGTGGCTCATCCCTATAATCCCAGCACTTTGGGAGGCCGAGGCGGGCAGATCACAAGGTCAAGCGATGGAGACCATCCTGGCCAACATGGTGAAACCCCCGTCTCTACTAAAAATACAAAAATTAGCTGGGCGTGGTGGCACGTGCCTGTAGTCTCAGCTTCTCAGGAGGCTGAGGCAGGAGAATTGCTTGAACCCGGGAGGTGGAGGTGGCAGTGAGCCAAGATCATGTTACTGCACTGCAGCCTGGCACCTGGCAACAGTGTGAGACTCTGTCTCAAAAAAAAAAAAAAAAAAAAAAAAATTGAGGTGTCATGGCATTCCACACAGATGTCAAGTCAGGAAAATAATCCAAAATGTGGAGAGCTGTTTCCTTGAACTTGCGATCTTGAATCTGTTTTAGGCTCACAGCAAAGTTGCAGTGGGCGGGCAGGGTTCGTGGCCACCTGTCAGGGTGGTCTCCACGTAATGCTTCTCTGTACTTTGAAAAAATCGTAAAGAGAAACAGTAAACACGAAAATGGTGAGACCGATTCAGACGCCGTAAACCGAGAGCTTTGAGCCTTCACATTGGTCTGAGTTCTGTTTTTTGAGACGGAGTTTCGCTCTTGTTACCCAGGCTGGAGTGCAGTGGTGCAATCTCTGCTCACCGCAACCTCCGCCTCCCAGGTTCAAGCAGTTCTCCTTCCTCAGCCTCCCGAGTAGCTGAGATTACAGGCACGGGCCACCACTCCCGGCTAGTTTTGTATTTTTTTTTTTTTTTGAGATGGAGTTTCACTCTTGTTACCCAGGCTGGAGTGCAATGGCACGATCTCGGCTCACCACAACCTCCGCCTCCTGGGTTCAGGCAATTCTCCTGCCTCAGCCTCCTGAGTAGCTGGGACTACAGGCACGTGCCACCATGCCCAGCTGATTTTTAGCATTTTTAGTAGAGACGGGGTTTCACCATGTTGACCAGGATGGTCTCGATCTGTTGACCTCGTGATCCACCCGCCTCGGCCTCCCAAAGTGCTGGGATTACAGGCTTGAGCCACCGCGCCCGGCGTAGTTTTGTATTTTTAGTAGAGATGGGGTTTCTCCATGTTGGTCAGGCTGATCTTGAACTCCCAACCTCATGTGATCTGCCTGCTTCGGCCTCCCAAAGTGCTGGGATTACGGGCGTGAGCCACCGCGCCCTGCCCTGGTCTGAGCTCTTTTTTTACTGCTATGTCAGTACATTTGGTGGTAAAACTTTGGTGTGCGTTTCCTGCACTCATTGCTCTCGTACAGCTGTGGGCCGGAACATTTTTTGTAAATAAAATCCAGAGCCGCAGTCCCCGGTGGCTGTTGGTACTCTGAGCCGCATCTTTCTAAGAGCATCTCAGCAGCCACACCTCTCAGCTCTCCCCAGCAGCCCCGTTTTACAGACCGGGAAACTGAGGCTGCACCTCCAGGAAGCGGGAGAGGAATGCAGCGCTGAGGCTTCCCTCCAGGGCTGCCCACTGGGCTCAGAGCTGCCAGTGAGGTACCCGCCCTGCCTTTTCTTCCCCAGAGCCGCGGCCTACAGCAAACTCGGTAACTACGCAGGTGCCGTGCAGGACTGTGAGCGAGCCATCTGCATAGACCCGGCCTACAGCAAGGCCTACGGCAGGATGGGGTGAGTGCCTGAGGGCCGTCGTGGGCGTCTTTCCTGTCCCTCTCGGCCCCTCCTCTCCTCATGCTCCTGCTTCCTCCCGTGTGGCCTTTTCCACACCCGCCCCGATTCTCCCACCCCAGTTGGTTCAGCTCTGACACTAGCCGTTCGGAGCTAACATGGCCCCTACAGGCCACGGGCTGTCCCACAGACCACCCCGCGTCAGCTGCCAGCCGGAAGTCCCGGGACCCTTGCTTCGCCCCGACCAGCTGTGCACTGGGGTTCCCACAGGCCCCGCTCAGGCTCTGGTGCTTGCACGGGCAGCTCGGAGAGCTCAGGGGAGCACCTGGTTTATGATGAAGGACACAGGAGGAGTCTGAGGACGGGGCAGGAGGGTCCCCGGGCAGAAGCCTGTGCCCCGTGGGGCCGGTGCTGCCCTCCCAGCACGGGGGTGCCTCTGCCTGCTGCTTTTGAACGCTCTTGCTCAAAGTCTGTGTGATTGGGTCTCCCGGGAGGCCGGGTGAGGGGGTGCCCTGTCCGCCTGCCTGGTCTCCCTAGGACCCGCCCTGGCCTCTCTAGGGGCCCCTGAGTCACCTCAGTAGTGAAGACTCAGGTGGTGGTCGGGCTGCTTGTGGATGGCAGGAGACTTGTCTGTCCCTCAGAGGTTCCAAGGGTCCTCGATGCCCTGTGCCAGGAAGCAGGGCACAGACCACATCCATGCTTTTCCTGTGACCCCACACCCGCCTGCTCCCTCCTCAGCCCCCTCAGGCCTTGAAGTCCTGTGTGGCCCCGTGGGGACACCAGTTCTTGTGCCGCAGGGGTCTTTTCCTGTCTGTCTCCCTCAGTCCCACCCTGGCCCTCTCGAAAGCCAGGTTTGCCTCCGCCAAGTTGACAGTGTGCAGGGGGCCGCTGGGGACGAGGGCCTGGGCGGGGCCTCCCGGAGCAGGGCAGATGGGAACAGGCTGTCCCCGGTGCTCTCCCCAGCCTGGCGCTTTCCAGCCTGAACAAGCACGTGGAGGCCGTGGCCTACTACAAGAAGGCCCTAGAGCTGGACCCCGACAACGAGACGTACAAGTCCAACCTCAAGATCGCAGAGCTGAAGCTGCGGGAGGCCCCCAGCCCTGTGAGTGCAGCGGGGGCGAGTGGCCCCAGAATGCAGGGCTGACTGGCGGGTGGGGACAGGTCCTTGGGCACGCCACCAGCTCTCGGCTTAACCTGGGTGTCGTGAGGGTCCGGGGTCTGTTTCAGTCGGTGGTGAGACGCGCCTGTGGAAGTGACTGTTGTGAGGAGTGGGTTCGTGCTCCCAGACCCCTGGAAGCAGGAGGCCGGCTGCAGGGCTAGGCGAGAGGTGGGGAGAGGGGCGCAGACGGACCCTCGCTGTGGGTTGTGTGGCGAGGCTGGGTGGGCAGGCTTAGGGTTGGCCAGTTTGAGCTGTTTCACTGGACAGCCTGGGGGCTGCCCTGGTCGCCTGGTCCCTGGCTGGGGGTGGCTGGGGCAGGTGTGGCCCTGGGGTGATCAGGGAGGTGCCAGGGATGTGGGTTCTAGGTCGGTGGGCTTGTATTTCAAAGGTGCGTTCCTGAGGGAGTCGTTTTCTCTCTCTGGGAATTGGCCACTCCCGGAGCGGCTGGCTCTGCCAGGCCAGCAAGGCCCCAAGGTGTCAAAGCGGCCAAATACAGGAAATGGAGGCGTGGGTGGTAGACTGGGCTGGCCCTGCAGTCGGCCCGCGCTGCATGCTGCCTGCCTCAAAGCAGCCTCTGGCCGCAGGCTTGGTAGAATGTCTGAGCTCCAAGGGGTCGTCGTCTCTGGGCTCGAGGGGGCCTTACTCATCGTGGCCCCTGATCTCACCCCCAGACTGGAGGCGCGGGCAGCTTCGACATCGCCGGCCTGCTAAACAACCCCGGCTTCATGACCATGGTAAGCGCCCGCCCTCCTCCCTGCCCCCTGGCGGCCCCGCCATGCCCCAGGCCCACACCTGCTGCGTCACCGCTGTGGGCCACAACTGCTGTGTCACCGCTGCGGGCCAGGGCTTCCCTCTCATGGCACTGCTGGCATCTGAGTTGGTTCTTGTTTGTGGGGCTGTCCCAAGCACTCCCTGTCAGGAGCACCCAGCCCTCAGCTTTGACGATCACAAGTGTCCCCGATGTTGATGTCCCAAGCAAGACCTATCAGTAATGAGCACTGAAAACTGCATGCTGCCTCTCCTGGCTGAATAACCCAGGGAGAGCACATCCCCGCCCCAGTGTGGGTCCCTCCTCACAGTGCAGAGACGCTGATCACAGCACAGCTGCGCCTGCCTTCCAAGGTTCCGGTGAGGGAACCAGAGCGCTGGGTGTAGATGCTGCCTCCTGATGCCTGGCACTCATGCCTGGCACTCAAAGGGGTGGCCCGTGGCAGAGGGTTCCTTGGCTTCGACTCTCAGAGAGCCACCCCTGCAGTGCACGTGTGCCCTGGGGCTACACTGCAGGCTCCCATGCCTTAAGGGGCAGGGACTCAACTAAGGCTGTTAGGGAGAGAGAAGCACTCACTCATTGGCAGTCAGAAAAACGACCCAGCTGGCCCAGGACCCCTGTACTCACCATGGGATGGAGGGTGAGCGGCCCCAGCCCTTCAAGGGGCCTCTCAGCCTCACCATGGCACAAACTCCTTTTGCCTTCAGACATCTGGGGTTGGCAGAATAAGGCCCACCACTAGGTTTTGTTAATAAAGTTTTATTGGCACACAGCCATGCCCATTCATACACATAGTGTCAGTGGTGGCTTTCATGATGCCGCAGCAGAGCTGAGTAGTTGGGTCAGGGACCCCGTGTCTGGAAAGGCTGGGAGTATTTATATACTCCCTTTACACAGAGAGTTTGCCACGACTCTGAGCCACCCGCTTTCAACAGGTCCAAAGGAATAAGCCCAAGTGGGAAATTACTGTGAGAAAGTGCCCAGTACAGTACAGTTTATTTATTTTTCATATATTTTTAACATTTATATGTATATATATGTGGGTTTTTTTTTTTTGAGATGGAGTTTCGCTCGTTACCCAGGCTCGAGTGCAATGGTGCGATCTCGGCTCACCGCAACCTCTGCCTCCTGAGTTCAGGCAATTCTCCTGCCTCAGCCTCCCGAGTAGCTGGGACTACAGGCACGCACCACCATGCCCAGCTAATTTTTGTATTTTTCGTAGAGACGGGGTTTCACCGTGTTGACCAGAATGGTCTCGATCTCTTGACCTCATGATCCACCTGCCTCGGCCTCCCAAAGTGCTGGGATTACAGGCGTGAGCCACCACGCCCGGCCTGTTTGTTTTTTTTTTTTAAAGACGGGGTTTCACCATGTTGGTCCGGCTGGTCTTGAACTCCCGACCTCAGGTGATCCGCCTGCCTTGGACTCCAAAGTGCTTGGATTACAGGCGTGAGCCACCACGCCCGGCCTATTCATATTTTTATTTATCATTTTTGAGACAGAGTCTCACTCTGTCACCCAGGTTGGAGTGCAGTGGCACAAGGTTGGCTCACAGCAACCTCCACCTCCTGGGTTCAAGCAATTCTCCTGCCTCAGCCTCCTGAGTAGCTGGGATTACAGGCATGCGCCCCTCCACCTGCCTTATTTTGTATTGTTAGTAAAGATGGGTTTCACCATGTTGGTTAGGCTGTTCTTAAGCTCCTGACATCAAGCGATCTGCCTGCCTCGGCTTCCTAAAGTGCTGGGATTGCAGGCGTGAGCCACTGCGCCCGGCCACACTGCTGCTTACTGATACAGCAGAACTAAAAACCAACCAAATATACTGAAGTAGACAGCAGCTACGATAAAGAACCAAAATGCGCCGGGCGCGGTGGCTCAAGCCTGTAATCCCAGCACTTTGGGAGGCCGAGGTGGGTGGATCACGAGGTCAAGAGATCGAGACCATCCTGGTCAACATGGTGAAACCCCGCCTCTACTAAAAAAAAAAAAATACAAAAAATTAGCTGGGCATGGCGGCGCGTGCCTGTAATCCCAGCTACTCAGGAGGCTGAGGCTGGAGAATTGCCTGAACCCAGGAGGCGGAGGTTGCAGTGAGCCGAGATCGCGCCATTGCACTCCAGCCTGGGTGACAAAAGTGAAACTCCGTCTCAAAAAAAAAAAAGAAAAGAAAAAAAAAGAACCAAAACGCATCCACACGGCGAACCAGCAGCAGCCAGCGACAGGCGCTGTGGCGCTGCGACATTGCCCCTAAAGCAAGAGCCCAAAACAGGATGTCAGTCATAGAACGTGAAGGTCACAGCTCGCGGGTCAGCAGACGTAAGTGTGGGAAAAAGGGTAAGAAATACCCAGTGGCCGGCTCTTACTGTGTGTCGGCGTGCTGGAGTCCAGAAGGAAGCCCAGTTCAGAGGCAAGAGTGTCTGATGAAAGAGAAGGATGCGCCTGGAGCTTTCTGTCCTGACAAATTTGTTCTTTCCTGCAGGCTTCAAGCCTAATGAACAATCCCCAGATTCAGCAGCTGTAAGTGACAACTGTGTGTCTTCGGGTCTTCTCGTGGTTAAATGTCTTTTTATTGTGGGAAACTTTACTTGAAACTGACCATTTTGAAGTGTACATTTTAAAGTGTACTTGATGGCCTTAAGGACATTCACACTGTCATGCAACTGTCACCACCACTGAGCACCAGCACGCCTGCATCATCTCTGAAAGAAGCTCCCACCCATCAGCCGTCACTCCCCAACCCCTGTCCCATCCTGACACCCACGCGTCCGCTTCCTGTCTCTGTGGCTGGGCCTGTCCTGGACATTTCACAGAAGCAGGATCACATACCGCGTGGTCTTTTGTGTCTGGCGTCTCCCCCTGAGCCTGTGTCCTCAGGGTGCATCAGTGCTGGGGCCTGCGTCAGGGCCTCCTTCCTTTTCATGGCTGAGTAATGTTATTCCAGTGTGGCTGGACCATGGTGCTGATCCATGCATCTATCCATGGGCATCAGGGCTGTCTGTACCTCTGCCTGCTGTGGGTGGTGCTGCTCTGAGCGTGGGTGTGCAGGCCTCTGTGTCCATCCCTGTTTTCGTTTCTCTTGGGTATAAACCTCTCGGTGCATTGCTAGCTCATCAGGCAGCCCTCCAATAAACTCTGTGCTTATCGGGGAACTGCTCGCCCGTTTTCATGGTCAAATCTCTTTTTTTTTTTTTTTTTTTTTTGAGGCGGAGTTTCGCTCTTGTTACCCAGGCTGGAGTGCAATGGCGCGATCTCGGCTCACCGCAACCTCCGCCTCCTGGGTTCAGGCAATTCTCCTGCCTCAGCCTCCTGAGTAGCTGGGATTACAGGCACGCGCCACCATGCCCAGCTAATTTTTTGTATTTTTAGTAGAGACGGGGTTTCACCATGTTGACCAGGATGGTCTCGATCTCTCGACCTCGTGATCCACCCGCCTTGGCCTCCCAAAGTGCTGGGATTACAGGCTTGAGCCACCGCGCCCGGCCCTCTTTTTTTTTTTTGAGACGGAGTCTCACCCTGTCACCCAGGCTGGAGCACAATGGCATGATCTTGGCTCTTTGCAATCTCTGCCTCCTGGGATCAAGTGATTCTCCTGTCTCAGCTTCCTGAAGTATCTGGAATTACACGCACCCACCACCGTGCCCGGCTAATTTTCGCATTCTTAGTAGAGATGGGGTTTCACCATGTTGGCCAGGATGGTCTTGAACTCCTGACCTCAGGTGATCCTCCTGCCTCAGCCTCCCAAAGTGCAGGGATGACAGATATGAGCCACCTCGCCCAGCCTGTGGTTAAATTTTTTTTTTTGAGACAGAATTTTGCTCTTGTTGTCCACGCAGTGCAATAGGACGATCTCGGCTCACTGTAACTGCTGTCTCTCGGGTTCAAGTGATTCTCCTGCTTCAGCCTCCCGAGTAGCTGGGATTATAAGCATGTGCCAGCACACCCAGCTAATTTTATATTTTTAGTAGAGATGGGGTTTCTCTATATTGGTCAGGCTGGCCTTGAACTTCCTACCTCAGGTGATCCACCGGCCTCGGCCTCCCAAAGTGCAGGGATCACAGGCATGAGCCACCATGCCCCGCCCATGGTCAAACCTTAAAGCATAGTTTCCCAGCCACAGCACCGTGGCCATTTGAGCTGGACCAGTCTCTGGGGTAGGGCCATCCTGGGCACTCCAGGGTGCTGAGCAGTGTCTCTGGCCTCCATGCGCTGCACACCAGGAGCACCCCTTGCCCCAGTCTTGGCGTAACCCAGGCATGGCTGTTGGAAATGTCTGCTGCCGTTGCAGGGGTCCTCTGGGGCAGGATCACCCCCTGGCTGAGAACCATGGTCTTTAGGCGGAAGAAGGAAGGGCGTTGTGGGAAAGCGGGTGAAACTCACAGGGTGGGTTTGAGCCCGGGAGGCCTGCTGGGTGGTGAGAGAGAGTCCTCTCCCGTGCGAGAAGGTGAAGAGCCGAGAGGGAATCTCTCCCCGGCCGCTGCTGAGGGGCTGCAGTGGGGATGGCCGTCGGGCCGTCCTGGCCGCGGGTCACGCGCTTTCTCCTGCAGCATGTCCGGCATGATTTCGGGCGGCCACAACCCCCTGGGAACTCCTGGCACCAGCCCCTCGCAGAATGACCTGGCCAGCCTCATCCAGGCGTGAGTGGACCTGCTTCAAGGAGGGCGTGGGCGGTGTCCCCCTGCTCCGGAGGGCCTGGCATCTGCTGGCGAGCAGTCAGACCTGTCTGTGGGGTGGAGGGGTCACGGGGTCAGGTGGCGATGGACAGAGGCGGCGGCAGTCTCCTGGCCCCGGCTGAGCCCTGCGCGCCCTTCCCCACAGCGGTCAGCAGTTTGCCCAGCAGATGCAGCAGCAGAACCCAGAGTTGATAGAGCAGCTCAGGAGCCAGATCCGGAGTCGGACGCCCAGCGCCAGCAACGACGAGCAGCAGGAGTGATGCCGTGTGAGTCACGGGGCTGAGGGGCAGAGGGGCGGCCAGCAGGAGTGACACTGAGTGAGGGCCCCGAGGGGAGGGCGGCCAGCAGGAGTGACACTGAGTGAGTGCCCCAAGGGGAGGGCGGCCAGCAGGAGTGCTGCCCGGGGACTGAGCCCCTCTGGGCACTAGACAGTGAATCCTGAGCACGTCCAGCTCTCTGAAGGTTGCCCTGAACCACTGAGGCAGGTGGGGGCATCTCTGGGCATTGGACCCTTTCCAGGTCGCCGCCAACTCCTTCTGTCCCGTCCTGTTTCCCATCTGTGGATCGGGGCTGGGTGGAGATGAGGGGGAAGCCACGGCTTCCTGGGAGGGCTGGGCTCTAGGGGTCTGGGCCCCTCACTGGAAGGGCTGGTGTCTGGGGTCTGGCATTCCCCCCGGACCGGCTGGGGTCTGGCGTCCCCCCTGCAGAAGCTTTTGGTTTCTGCAGCGTCAGGGCTGCCACCTGGGGCTGGGAGCCAGGTTGTCGGGTGGTGGAAAGGACCAGCCCGGCACCTGCCTTTGACCACGTCCGAGCATTCTGCTTACGTTTTGTGAGGGATTTTTTTGTCCCTTTCTCGCTGTGAGCAGCTTTTGCACTTAGAGTTGTTTAGAAATGCACTTGGAGTTCCCCGTGGGTTCCAGGGGCCCGTGGCTGGCTTGGTTTCCATCCCAGGGTTCCCTGTCCGTCCTGTCTGTCCGCAGCAGACGCCGACGCCCTGGGGCGGGTGGCTCCGGGCCTCCCGAGGTATGTCCATTCTGTTCCAGTGTGGCCTCATCATCTTGTCACCATTGCTGGGTGTGTCCCTCGTGTACACACTCTTATTTTTTAACCAGAACTACTGTAGACAAATTTAAAGGACAAACGTGAAAAAGCAGCAAGCACAACCTTAAATCTTTTTTTGTTACTTTGAGACCATCCTGCTCTGTCACTGCGCCTGGAGGGCAGTGGTACAATCACGTCTCCCTGCAGCCTCAACCTCCTGGGCTCAAGTGATCCTCCCACCTCAGCCTCCCAAAGTGCTGGGGTGACAAGTGTGAGCCCGCGTTCAGCCCAACCTCAGTCTTTTCACCCAGGGCAACTGACGTTCATATTGCGGCCACCTTTTCTTCCAGTCTTTTCTTTTCTTTTTTTAAAGTAAGTTTTCATTTATTTATTTTTCTTTTTTTAATAGTTGAGGTGGATTTTTCACCAACATAACCTCATACCCAACGTACCACCACACTGCAGACCCTTCTAGATCATGGCGGCATTCTCTGCGCCACCAGCCACACGTGGCCCCGAGTGTTCAGAACGCTTCCGGTGTGGCTGTGGCGCTGACGTTCGTTGAAACAGCTGGCGTGGTCCCTGGCTGAGGGCCTCTCCTCCTGCCTAGTGTGTGGTGCGGCCGGGGTCTCCACCTGTGCTCTGACCGCCGTCACATCTGTCCCCCTCCAGCCATTCCCGGCATGACCGCGTCCTTCCCTGGCCGACTGGAAGCCTTCTGGTTGTTTGCTGTCTCCTCCTGAGAGGGGAAGAGGGAGACCTCGGACCTGCATGTCAAGATGGATTTTCCCTTTGTCTCTGCCTCCTCCACTCCCTTTTGTAACTCTCTTACAGCCCCCAGACCTTTCTTGAAACCAGAGCCAGCAAGCTGAGCGCAGCCCAGCAGCGACCTCCCTCCCAGGCCCCCGACAGCCCATCACTTGAGTATTTTCTAGAATCCTGGGTGCTCCCGGCCCCTCAGCGAAGCAGCAGCTTCCACGTTCAGCCACGTGGCGGATCCTGTGGCTTCCGGAGCCTTTTTCCAGCCCCCGCTCCCCCCGTGGTGTGTGTGCAGGAACTCTTCCGTCCTGAGAAGCTGCTTTCTGCGTCGACCTCCCGGCCTCCCGGGCCCCGTGCCTGCTCGGAGGAGCTCACTGCCAGCTGTGGCCCGGACGCCGCGCCGTGTGTCTTTGCATGAGGAACTCTTTACTGGCAGACATCTAGGAGGCAGCTGCCGTCACCCCACCACCTCTGCGGCCAGGAGCCGTCGTGGGTGCATAGGACCAGTTTCTGTGACTTTCTCCAGGTGCGCGTGTGGGCAGACACGCGTTCCCCTCCGCCTACGCTCATTTTCCAGTCCTCTCGACTGAGCCACGAGTGTCATCATGGCCTTCTGTCCCGGCTGCCTTAGCCGTGGGCACAGGGAAGGCAGCTGGGCCATTTCTGTCTGTGTCCCATCCTGCTGTCCTTCCATCCTGGGTGTTTCACAGGCCCACGGCCCACTGGGAAGCTCACCCCTCCAGTTCCAGGTCGAGGCCACGGGGCACCTCTGGTGCCACCCACCTTGGCCCTAAAACAGCCACCAGGAGAGCAGCCGAGAGCCAGACATCGGGGGGCCTGCCTCGGCTCCTGGGGCCTGGGGGTGGCAGGTGATCCCATGGCGCTGCGGTCCCAGCAGCAGGGTTGGCAGTCAGAGCGTCCTGGGGATCCCTGGGTCTTGGCCGTCTGCGAAGTAGGCGCAGTACTGTGTGTCGTAGGTAACAGTAGGAATGGGGCCCCTCACGGCGGTGAGCTGTGCCAAGCCCATCGGGTGCAGGGCGTGACGTGTGGGGAATAAATAGGCGTTGTGACCTCTGTCCGTCTCCCTGTTGACCTTGGCGCCACCTGTGCCCCGCAACCCCAGACTTCGAGAAAACGCCTGAAGTGGACTTTGCAAATCAGCTGGGCTGGTTGTGAGTGAATCCCCTGGATGCCTGGAGCTGCACTTCCTGGGTCACCGGTCCCAGGAGGTTCCAGACGGCCGTCTTCTACTCTCCCCTCTTCCTTCCCTCGGCCTCCACCCCCTGCTGCATCACGGTGCGGAGGGTCGGTCCCTCCTGGGTCAGGTGACACGCGTCAGTCCTCAGCAGAGAGTGACCCTATTGTTGGTTGCTTTTTTAGCATGTTGTAACTCCAGACATTCTGTATTCTGTAACCAAAGGCACCTCCCCTTTACAGCGGCTCTCCCAGGCAGGAAGGAGCCCAGAAAGTTGGCCTGTCTCGGCCCCAACCCGTGGCTGCTGCACACGGTTCTGTTGTGGACAGAAAAGGTGCTCCCTGGGTGGGGCGCGGTGGCTCAGGCCTGTAATCCCAGCTCTTTGGGAGGCTGAGGCGGGCAGACCACTTGAAGTCAGCAGTTGGAGACTGGCCTGACCAACGTGATGAAACCCGTTCTCTATTGAAAATACAAAAAAATTTGGCAGGCGTGGTGGCGAATGCCTGTAGTCCCAGCTACTCAGCAGGCTGAGTCAGAAGGCTCACTGGAGCCTGGGAGGTGGAGGTTGTAGTGAGCCGTGATTGCACCACTGCACTCCAGCCTGGCCAAAGGAGCAGGATCCTGTCTCAAAAATACGTTATAGCCAGGCTCACGCCTGTAATCCCAACACGTTGGGAGGCCCAGGCAGGTGGATCACTTGAAGTCGGGAGTTCAAGACTCGCCTGGCCAACATGATGATACCGCATCTCTACTAAAAGTACAAAAATTAGCCAGGTGTGGTGGTACATGCCTATAATCCCAGCTACTTAGGAGGCTGAAGCAGAGAATCGCCTGAACCCAGGAGGCGGAGGTTGCAGTGAGTCAAGATGGCAACAGTGCACTCTAGCCTGGGTGATACGGTAAGTGACACTCCATCTCAAAAGAAAAAAAATATCAGACACACCTGGGTGGGCCCCAGTAGTGTGTTCATCAGGCCCTCTGGGTGACTCCGACGCCCACCAAACCTCGTGACCCAATGGTCCTTCTGTAACCTGCCTTGTATATTTAGCCTGCACCCGCCACTCCCATCGGATCTGCATTATATTTTATTTATTTTTTTTTTGAGGCGGAGTCTCACTCGCTGTCACCAAGGCTGGAGTGCAATGGCGCGATCTCGGCTCACTGCAACCTCCACCTCCCGGGTTCAGGCAATTCTCCTGCCTCCGCCTCCTGAGTAGCTGGGATTACAGGCACCCACCACCAAACCTGGCTAAATTTTTAATTTTTAGTCGAGATGGGGTTTCAGCATCTTGGCCAGGTTGGTCTTGAACTGACCTCGTGATCCACTCGCCTCGGCCTCCCAAAGTGGTGGGGTATCTGCATTTTATTTTATTTTATTTTATTTTATTTTATTTTATTTTATTTTTTGAGACGGAGTTTTGCTCTTGTTACCCAGGCTGGAGTGCAATGGCGCGATCTCGGCTCACCGCAACCTCCGCCTCCTGGGTTCAAGCAATTCTCCTGCCTCAGCCTCCTGAGTAGCTGGGATTACAGGCATGTGCCACCATGCCCAGCTAATTTTTTGTATTTTTAGTAGAGATGGGGTTTCACCATGTTGACCAGAATGGTCTCGATCTCTCTCTTTTTTTTTTTTTTTTTTTTTTTTTTGAGACGGAGTTTCACTCTTGTTACCCAGGCTGGAGTGCAATGGCACGGTCTCGGCTCGCCGCAACCTCCGCCTCCTGGGTTCAGGCAATTCTCTTGCCTCAGCCTCCTGAGTAGCTGGGATTACAGGCACACGCCACCATGCCCAGCTAATTTTTTGTATTTTTAGTAGAGACGGGGGTTTCACCATGTTGGCCAGGATGGTCTCGATCTCTTGACCTCGTGATCCACCCGCCTCGGCCTCCCAAAGTGCTGGGATTACAGGCTTGAGCCACCGCGCCCGGCGATCTCGATCTCTTGACCTCGTGATCCACCCGCCTCAGCCTCCCAAAGTGATGGGATTACAGGCTTGAGCCACCGCGCCCGGCCTGTATTTTATTTTTGAGATGGAGTTTTGCTCTTGTTACCCAGGCTGGAGTGCGCTGATGTGATCTCGGCTCACTGCAACCTCCGCCTCCCAGGTTCGAGCAATTCTCCAGCCTCGGCCTCCGAAGTAGCTGGGATTACAGGCATGCACCACCACACCTGGCTAATTTTTGTATTTTGGGTAGAGACAGGGTTTCACCATGTGGGCCAGGCTGGCCTTGAACTGACCTCAGGTGATCCGCCTGTTTCGGTCTCACAAAGTGCTGGGATTCCAGGCGTGAGGCACTGCGCCTGGTTGGATCTACTTTGTAGACAGGCAGCCCAGATGATGGCAATGCTCGTTTGGAGAATCCCATTCTGGGACACACCTGTGGACGCTGTCGCAGGAGCTGAGTATCCCACCTGTAGCCGGCACGCCCTTCAGTCTTCGTAGACTACCTCGGCTCACTTCCTCCCATCTGGCCTCCATCACCAGGAAAGCCTGCACAGCCTCCTCCCACTTTACCCAGAACCCAGCCCAAGCATTCGAGAGACCTCCAGCAAGTTTCTGTTTTGGGATCACCACAGGATGAAGAGGGGGGGGTGGTGGGGGTAGGGTGCTGTCATCTCCTCCCAGAGCCAGTGGCTTCTCCGTGCAGCTTGGTGAGAAGCGTGTCGTAGACAATGACTGTTTGATCCCACACAAATGAAAAATAGGGTATTTCTGAATATTACACGGAGCAAACAAACGGTAATTAAACTTGGCTTTCGTGTAAGTCGTGACTCGGGGCTCCAGGAGTAGGCTGAACCTCGAAGTTTACAGAATTACGAAGACTCTGCAACTCTACACGCTTGGGGTGCCATTCCTGCATAGTCTGTACAAGGGCTGCATTGCAAACCCCTTCAGAGTAAGTCCCAGGACGTCACAAGGAGGAAGCAAATAGTGCCTTTCTCTTTTTCTTGTTTTGAGGCGATGTCTCACTCTTGTTACCCAGGCTGGAGTACAGTGGCACAATCTCGGCTCACTGCAACCTCCGCCTCCTGGGTTCAACTGATTCTCCTGCCTCAGCCTCCGAAGTAGCTGGGATTACAAGCACACACCACCATGCCTGGCTAAGTTTTGTATTTTTAGTAGAGACGGGGTTTCACCATATTGGTCAGGCTGGTCTCGAACTCCTGACCTCAGGTCATCTGCCCGCCTCTGCCTCCCATAGTGCTGGGGGCAGTGTTTTTCTCTTTTGCTGGATCAGTGCTTCTCAGTGGGGGCAGCTGTCCTCCCTGGGACACAGGGTGATGATGTCTGGGGACATCTATGGTTGTCATGACTGGGGCGGGGCCGAGTGGAGGATGCTTCTGGTGTGGAGTGGGTGGAGGCCAGGGACGCCGCTCGGCGCTCTGCAGTGCCCAAGATGGCCCCTCCCCAGAGAACAGTTCGGCCTCAAATGTTCACAGTCCAGAGGAGAAGCTGCACCCGGCTGATTTTTAAATTTTAGATCCAGGGGTATATGTGTGTGCCTCCCTCCCTCCCTCCCTTCCCCCACTTCCTCCCTCCTGTCTTACTAGGGTATCGAGAGCAGTCTGGCCAACATGGTGAAACCCCATCTACTAAAAATGAAAAAATTAGCTGGGTGTGGTGGTGGGTGCCTGTAATCCCAGCTATTCAGGAGGATGGGGCAGAAGAATGACTTGAACCCGGGAGGTGGAGGTTGCAGTGAGCTGAGATCGCACCACTGACATCAGCCTGGGCAAAAGAGCGAGACGCTGTCTCAAATAAAATAATAAATAATAAAAAGGCTGGGTGTGGTGACTCACGCCTGTAATCCAGGGGTTGAGGTGGGCGCATCACCTGAGGTCAGGAGTTCGAGACCACCCTGGCCAACATGGTGAAACCCCGTCTCTACTAAAAATACAAAAATTAGCAGGGCATGGTGGTGCACGCCTGTAGTCCCAGCTATTTGGGAGGTTGAGGCTGGAGAATTGCTTGAACCCGGGAGTTGGAGGTTGCAGTGAGCCAAGATCACACCACTGCTCTCCAGCCGGGGTGACAGAGCAAGACTCCATCTCAAGTAAATACATACATACATACATACACACCATTGGCATCAGGATGTGGCCGAAGAAATTCAGAACGATTCTGCATGGCGCAGCCAGGGGGCGCGCCGGCCACGGCCTCTCCCTCGGGCACCCATGTGCGCCCACAGCTGCCAGGGCTGCAAGGGACAAGCCGTGGCTCCACTGCTGCCACTCCAGACCAGAGCCTAGGGACCCACTCCTGCTCCTAGTCATTTGCTCTTAGGACTGGGTCTCCTTTTAGAATGACAGGGAGAAAACTCCTGCGAAGCAGGGATGTCCTGCCAGTGCTTGTGCTTTGATGGAGCTAAGAGGTAGCAGGCAGTGGACCAGGGAGGCGCGCTGGCCCTGAGGCGCCTGTGGGACGCAGGGTCACTGACATGAGAGCCTGCAGCCCGGGCGCCCACGGACCCGCGAAGCCCACCGGAAACCACCAGTTCTCATCAGCTCACTGTTGTCCCGAGTGCTCGCCAAGCCCGGGTCAACTTGGGGAGCCCTGTTCCTCTGTCTCCCACTCTTTGGTTAATTATGCTTTTTTCAACCTTTATAAATGGTTATTTATTTACTGTAGGGAACCCCCTATCTGGGCACCGAGGAAGGAGAGCTAACCAGATCCACGGCAGAATTAGTGCCTGAAGAGTATCACAGTGTTGTCACTCAGTGATTTCCTTTATATAATCCTTTATAGATAATCATACATTAGTTTATAGAATTAGTGCCTGAATGCCAGGCATGGTGGCTCACGCCTATAATCCAAGCACTTTGGAGGCTGAGGCGGGGTGGGGGGGGGTCACCTGAGGTCGGGAGTTCAAGACCAGCCT